AGCCGATCCCCCCCCGGTCCCTGCTGACTGGCGGGCACAGCCATGAGTCCGTGGCAACCAGAAGGGAACTTAGCAGCAGCCAGAGCCCAGACACGCCGCCTGGCAGTGCCCCTGTGCCCCGAGAAGCAGGCAGTGATGAGGTACCTGGTTCTTCCCGAGGCTGGACGAGTCTCTGGTGTGGGCAGGGCCTATCCCTTCCGCCTCACGCCCCTTCTCAGCTGCAGGTGATACAGGACCTGCCCAGGAAATTGGAAATCTCCCATGACCACTTCAATAGTCACCTGTGCCCACAGCCTTAAGGAGGGCATGGCCCCGGGCATGCTGGGATAGTGGCACCCTGCAGGTGCTAACCAGATGTGACCAGGGAGGCCTGTGCAGCCCGGAGACAGGGCAGGGGTAGTGCTTGAAGTCCATGTGCATTGGGTGTGACTCAGCCCAAGGGCTGCCAACCCACCAGCCCTCCCCCCCCACTGCCTACAACGGAGCAGGGTACGGCCACTGCAGCCAGCAGCCCACAGGGACAGGGTGAAGCTGAAGCCCATGGGCACCCTGCGGGTGACCTGCCTGCTTTACCCAACTCCCTAGGGCAGAGCAGTGCTGCCAATCCTCCCCCCGCCCGAGGCAGGAGGGGTGTGCCAGGAGAGCAGCCCATCGCCAGCAACAGGGCACGTCACTCCTGGCAGCAGCAGGCTCTAGGGGAGAGCAGATCACTGACTTCTACACCCAGCATCCATCCTTCTGTCCCTGGGTGCCCATTGAGCGGTGCCAGCCCCATGGACACAGTGCCCCTCGATGAGCAGTGAGGGCTCTCGCAGGCCGGGCTGGAACCGGCCAGCATGGACACTGCTTGGTCCGTGCAGTGCCTGGCACGTCAGAGCCCTCGGCTCCATCGAGCTTCCTGGCACCTGCCCCGGCTCACGGGCAGCCAGAGCGAGCAGCCAACTCCTCCCATCACAGACGCTGGAGGATGCTTCCACCAGGCATGCAAACACTGCATGGCCAAAAGCCTCTTCACCTCAGCCACAGCCACTGGAAATGGGGGGCTGATCCCCCCCATCTCCCCACACCAGCAGTGACCCTCCCCATCTGCTGGCCAGGCCCCAGGATACAATTAGCAGCCCCAGGAAAACCTGGTTCACTCCACTCCTTGCTTCTGTGGGGCCAGGCTGTTAACCTTTCCCCTGCCCCACAGGTGGCTCCACTGGGCCCATCTCACGCACCCTGGCCTTTTGTGCCAGTGTGTCCTGCAGAGTGGCCCTAGGCAGCAGCCTTCACCACAGGAACGCTCCCCCTTTGAGCAGAGGGGGCACAGCAGCGTGTGTGTGGGAGGGGGAGGTTGCACCATGTCCCTGAGGGGAGCTAAGGTGGGGAAAGGGTCTGGGCTCTCAGGGCTCTCCTCTGGCCGGGAGAGGGAGAGGATGTGGGAGCTCTCACAGGGCTGGCTGCTGGGGTTAACTAGGGGGCTGCTCCCAGTGCTGGAGGCAGGAAAGGGGCAGCCTAACAGCCTGAACCATCCTGCCCCACGGGCCCTGCCAGTGCTAAGAGCCCTGTAGCTTCAGGGATGCTGCAACCCTTCAGAGGCATTTCGGGTCCCAACATCCCCTGGAATCTGCCCATTTCAGGAACTGCCCCCTCATCTCCCAACCCGTGGAAACAGGGCTGTTCAACACGAGGGCAAGCAGCCCAGAGCCCCACTGCACACCCCCCGCACTAGCCTAGGGGAGCTCATTGGAAGCTCTCACCGGACTGGGGTGCAAACAGCCAGCGTGGTCCCTCAGCAAGATTTGAACCCAGGCCCTGCTGTGCCAGCAGCACTCCCTTTGCTACAGCAGTAGTAGCCTTTTATCCTCAAATGCCAGCCCCTATGGCTCCTGGGGCGCCCACACAGTGGGTACATGGCCCACGAAGGCAGGACTGCAGCCGACCCACCTGCACAAGCAGCAGTGGTGACACGCTGGCGGGGGCTAGGTCAGCTGCCCTGGTACAACCCACTGGCTGTGCTGAGGGCCTGGTTCCCACGTCTTCACTGCTCTTATCTACGCCAGCTGGACTGACGTCGTCACGGTGACGCCACCGGCCCCCCCCCGGGCCCCCCCCCCCCCGGCCGGGCCCGCCGGCTCCGGGCCAGCAGCTTCCAAACCTCATCTTCGCTAGCAAACTGGGTCCTGCTGGGATGGGAGCGGAAGGGGCCACCAGGTGCCCAGCAGAACTCCGTGTAGGACCCGTTACTGGAGCCCCAGCAGGGGGATGCTCCCTGGGGCCGGCGGCAGCTGGGGAGCCCCCCCCCCAGGGCCAGGCACTGACCACAGAGCACCCCGGGTGCACCATAGCAAGAGGCAGCGCAAGAGCCCATGAGAGCCAGTGGGCATGATGGGCCCTTGCAGCCCTGTGCCAGCTGCCCCCCAGCTCCTGTGGGTCACCCGAGGGCCAGGCTAGCAGGGCTGTGAATCTCTGCAGTCAGGCACTGCAGGAATCTTTAACCCCTTCCTTCCCAGGGCAGAGGGGCCAGGAACCAGCTCAGCAAGGAGGGGGGAGCCTCCTTCGTTATCCCTTTACACTTTCTTGCATCTTGAAAGGGAAACTGAGGCGCACCCCTTGCTTGTGAGCACTGGTGCTTTGGGATGATGCTTATAGGAGTCCGTGCCCCACCTCTCCCTTTGTTACTGGGGTCGAGAAATGCAGGCCTCTTCCCCGGCCGCACCTAGAGGTGGTCAGGCAGCCATAGTGCAGGGAGCCACGCCTGCCCTATCACAGCAGGGGGTGGGGTTTCAATCCAGATGGTTTTCTGTTGACACCTAGGGTAGTCTAGACTATACCTCTCTGTCGACAGAGAGAGGTTTACAGGATCTGTTGAAAAAGGGTTTATTTTTCGACAGATCCCCATCTCGACTGCCGGTTTTTTTCCGAAAAAGCTCCGTGTCAAAAAAAAAAAGCGGAAGCCATGATTATGCTAATGAAATGCGGGATATTTAAATCCCTGTATCATTAGCAATTTTGACGTGCCTAATCTACATCTCTCTGTCGACAGAGAGGTGTAGTCTAGACACAGCCCTAGAACCTAGAGTCCACCCCCTCTCCAGCTCTCTGGTCCTCCAGGGAGCCCTCCAGCCCAGCTGAGCAGACAGCACATGGGGTGGGCCTCACTCCAGCTAGCAGAGGAGTGGGCCTGGACTGTAATTCATGGTGTGTCTGGCAAGCGCACACTGAGCGCAAGTCCAGGGAGCCTGATCTGGATCTAGCAAAAGTTGTTTTCTTTCCGCAACACCAAGAGGGGAGAAGGTTTGAGATAGTCCCGTGACCTCCACTTCTGTCCCTGCAGCCCGGTCAGACATCCCTGCACCCAGGGCTGTGGGGGCCCAACAACAGGAGAAGCTGTAGCTCGGCACTTGCCCTGTGGGTTCTGCTCCCACCAGAAAGCAACCCAGCCCCAAATGTGGGTGGGCAGAGGCTTGGGGGAAACAAGACAGAGGTGGGCGGCGAGTGCAAGCTCCGCTCAATGCGAGCCCATTGGCTGGCTGAGAAGGACCCTGCCTGTTTCCCCCACTCAGAGCGCTCTGGTTTTGGCAGGGACTGTGTTACACATGGACAGGAAATCTGGAATGCTGACAGAGCATCCCCAAGGGGCCTGCCCTGGCTGTGCCCAGCAATGTGTTGACCCCATTAGGAAGCTGCCATGGGGCAATGGCAGAGACGGGCTCCCAAACCCTCCCTGGCCAAGGGGACACACTGACCCCATGTTTAGTGTTCACCAACTGCAGGTTCCTGCCGGGAGGGAGCAGGGGCCCATCGCACAGGCGATTCTAGGGCTGCTCTGCTGAGTAAGGCTCAGGGGGCCTTTCCCGGCTGTCTTGCCCTCCCCCGCCCGCCCCGCCGGTGACAGGCACAGAGCAAACCCCTCCCAGAGGGCATAACACTAGGAGCCATCCACTCCCTCTTCCCCCTCCAAGTTCCAGGGAGTGCCCAGAAAGACCACGGGGCCAAGTGACTTCTCGGGCCGCAGCAGCCCAGCTCTCTGCAGCCTACGGCCCACGCCCCATGCTTTCATCACCTCTGGTTGTGAGAGGGTGTGGCCTGGCTGGATGACTCCTCCCAGCATGCACTGCTTCACCCTGATGCACAAGGGGCCATGCAGTGCACTCTGGGATATGTAGTCTCCATTGGACTGAAAACGTGTCCACAAGCAGCTCTCCGCCACGAGGGACTAGGCAGGATGGCGCCGCCTGGGAGCCGCACGTGGCCTGGGCCGCACTCCCTAGCGGAGTGTGCTGGAGCAGGCGCTGGGTCAGCCGTCGCGGTGCACGCGCTGGTGCTGCAGCAGGTTGGAGGGGTGGGCGAAGCCCTTGTCACAGACGCTGCACTTGTAGGGGGTCTCGCCCGTGTGCACCTTCTCGTGCACCGTCAGGTAGGCCAGGTCCTTGAAGAACTTGTCGCAAAAGCTGCACTTGTAGGGGCGCTCCTCGCTGTGCACCCGGTGGTGCTGCAGCAGCAGGGAGGGCCGGGCGAAGGCCTTCTGGCACACCTCGCATTTGTAGGGCCGCTCGCCCGTGTGCGAGCGCTCGTGGATCACCAGGTAGGACGACTGCTTGAAGGCCTTGCCGCAGGTCTTGCAGATGAAGGGGCGCTCGCCGGTGTGCACCCGCTCGTGTGAGGAGAGGGCGTTGGACTGCTTGAAGCCCTTGCCGCAGATGGGGCAGACGAAGGGCCGGTCGCCAGTGTGCACCCGCTCGTGCACCTTGAGGCTGTGGCCGTAGGTGAACTTCTTGCCGCAGATGCCGCAGACGTGCGGCTTGTCGTCGCAGTGCTGGCGCTGGTGCAGGAGCAGCGAGTTGGAGGTGGGGAAGTCCTTGCCGCAGTCCCCACACTTGAAGGGCTTCTCGGTGCAGTGGGTGAGCATGTGGCGCTGCAGCTCGTAGGGCGTCTTGAAGCTCTTGTCGCAGCAGGCGCACTGGTAGGGGCGCTCGCCGGTGTGGATGCGCCGGTGCTCCTGGAGGTTGGACGAGCGCTTGAACTTCTTGCCGCACATCTCGCAGTGGAAGGGCCGCTCCTCGCCCCCAGCCGGTGGCTCTTGAAGTCCGAGTGGCGCTTGAAGGAGGCCTCGCAGAGGTCGCAGTGGAAGGGCCGCTCCTCGTTGTGCACCACCTCGTGGCTGAACAGCTCCCAGGCCCGCTTGAAGGTCTTCTCGCACACGCCGCAGGCGAAGGGCTTGTCGTCCACAATCACCTCCCGGATCTCCAGCTGGGGCCCTGCCCGCCTCAGGTGCGGTGGCAGCACCGCCGCCTCCTCCAGCTCACCCGCCGCGCTGCCCAGCACCAGCTTGGCGGTGGAGTAGATCCCGTGCTCGTCGATCAGCTGCACGATATCCGGCTTGGGGTGGGTGGCGCCGGGCCCGGACAGCCTGGGGGAGCCGAACCTCTTCTCCTCCTCCTCCTCCCACTCCAGTGCCAGGCCCTGCTCTTCCAGCTTCGGGGCCAGGCACTGCCCCTTCTCCCCTCCCTCCCGCTTCGCGACTGGGTCCTGCCCCTCCTCCCCACTGCGCCGGGGCTGTGGGAGGGAGAGCCCCACATTACCTGGCCCCCCCTCCTGGCCGTTCTCCAAGGGGCTTTTCTTCCTCCGGAAGTTGCTGGCCTGGCCCCGTAGCAGCCGCAGCCTTTTGCCCTGGGAGGGCCCTGGCACCTCAGCAGTGGCTGGCTGCCCCCTGGCCTGCCCTGGGGGGACAGCACCTGGGCCAGAGGCCAGCTTCATGTACAGCCGGTGCTTCCGCCGGAATGGCCTGTGGGGCTGCGGCTCCCTCGGCGCCGGGGACTGAGGGGGCTCCAGGCGGAGAGGGGACACTAGGTCCTGTGCTCCCCCATTCGGGTTGTGGCCTGTCCCATCCGTGGCAATGCCCTGCCCCTCTTGGCACCGGCTGGGTGGAGAAGGAGAACTTCTGGTTCGCCCCGGGGAGCTCCCCACTGTCACTGGATCCTGCCTGCTCCCGCTCTGCTCCCAGGCCTCCTGTTCCTCATCTGGCCCGTCCGCCTCGCCCATCTGGATGCAGCTCTGCGGGGATGGGGCCTGGCTGGCAGGGGAAGCCGGGTCATCCTCCATGACTGTGGGTCCAGCCCAAGTCCCAGGCAAGACCTGCAAGAGACCAGGAGGGAGAGTTAAGAGCCTGGCACGGCCACCTTCAACCCAGCACAGCCCACTACTCCAGCCCTAGCGCTAATCCCCAGGCCTGCCTCCTGCTCTGCCCCCCTGCCCAGCCCCTCAGTACGTATCCCTGAGGAAGGGGCTTTCTACAGCCTGGCAGCAGCATTGACCCTGCTCACTAGAGGCAGAGGCAATGGGATAGTGCCCACACCCGGCTACTAGCACTCTGCCCTAGATGACTGGAGGCCTCAGCCATGGGGGCAGTCTGAGTCCAGCCTCACTCCAGAGGGATTCAGCCGGGCCCAGGAGCATAGGCAGCGAGAGGCTGGCTCACACTTGCCCCTTCTGCACGGATGGCTGAGGCTACATCTATATTACAGGGATGTGTCTACATTGGTGCGATCTTGCGCAAAAGCAGCTGCTTTTGCGCCAAAACTTGCTGTCTGTCTACACTGGCAGGGAGTTCTTGCGCAAGAACACTGATATTCTAATGTGTGAAATCAGTGCTTCTTGCACAAGAACTATGATGCTCCCGCTCAGGAATAAGCCCTTTTGCACAACTGTTCTTGCGCAAGAGGCCAGTGTAGACAGGCAACATGAATTTCTTGCGCAAGAAAGCCCGATGGTTGAAATGGCCATCAGAGCCTTCTTGCGCAAGACAGCGTCTACACTGGCACGGATGCTCTCACGCAAAGGCACTTGCCAGTGTAGACGCTCTCTTCTGGAAGAGTTTTTGCACAAGAACTCTTCCACAAAAGAGTACTTGCGCAAAATCATGCCAATGTAGACGTAGCCCAGGGGTTTTTGCGCAAAAACCCGCCAAGTGCCCACATCTCAAGCGCGTTTTTGCACAAGAAGATTTACAGTCAAACGGCAGACCAGAGGGCTTTTCCCGGTGTAGGAATGTCTCCTTCTACGAGGAATAACTCCTGTTAGAGTTCTTGTCCAAAAGGGCGTGCGGAGGCTCCGCAGGGGTTTCTTGCACAAAAAGAGCCTATCAGAAAAAGCAGAGGTGCTCTGATGGCCATTCTGTGAATGGCCACAGAGCGCTCTTGTGCAAGCGTGTCCATGCAGTGTGGACGCACTTTTGCACAAAAAGCTTCTTGTGCAAAAAGCCTTCAATGCAGATGTGGCCTGAGGCTCCTGCCTGAGAGGCAACACATTGCTCTGTGGCAGGGACCTTGCAGGGCCCAAACCCAAGGCTGCCAGAGACAGAGACGTCTGCATTTGGGGAGGGGCGGGGGTGAGGGAGGGAGGCAAGGCTCTGCTCCCAGAGAGAGCCTCAGGGTCCTGCCATGACTACACCCAGCCTGTGCGGAGGGGCCGGCTCTCACTGGAAAGGCCCAGCATGCACACAGCTCACCTGCCCTGAGGGACAGATCTTGCTACCTGACGCCCTGGGCAAGGTGGGATCTGACACTGCTCCTCCTGCACCTGCTGGCCCAGGGCCTTGGGGGCCTGCCCCCTTCTGGCCGGGGCACTCGCACCCTTGGAAGGTCTGGGATCCTCCACAGCTGGAAAGGATCCTGCTGAGGTATTTCGGGACCGGGTTCAGTTCACGTGACACCAGGCATGACAGAACGGATTGGATCTGTGTCACCCACGGCCACCCATCACCTCCGTGGCTTCCTCAGCACAGGCAGCCAGGGCCTGTCTCCACACAGCGCTGCACCAATTGTACCTCAGAACACAGGGACAGCCAGGCTGCGTTAGACCTAGCCCTGCCGGCAGGGGCCAGAGCCAGATGCTTCAAAGGCAATGAACAGAACAGGGTCATGCATTAAGTGATCCCTTTCCCATCATTCAGTCTCAGCTTCTGGCAGTCAGAGGGTTATGGACGGGGATATAAAAGGTTAAGGAGTTCCCTGGTAAGCATTAGGCTCACCGGCATGCTTACTGGGTAATCGGTTAACTGCAGAGCCAGCCTGGCTGCAACAAGTCCCCCGCCCACAGGACTCCAGCTCTCCTCGGTTAGCCAGTTAAACATATTGTTTAACCCATTAACTTTAAATGGGTATTTACATCCCTATTTACGGACACACTGAGCATGGAGTTCCACAGGTTAACTGTGCATCGTGTGAAGAAGGATTTCCTTATGTTTGTTTTAAGCCTGCTGCCTATTTATTTCATTGAGTGATCCCTAGTTCTTGTGTAATATGAAGAGGTAAACGACACTTGCCTATCCACTTTCTCCCCACTAGTCCTGATTTTATAGACCTTGATTGTATCTCTCTTTAGTTGCCGTGTTTCTAAGCTGAAGAGGCCCAGTCATTTTAATCTTTCCTCATATGGAAGCTGTTTCTTACCCCTAATCATTGTTGTGTTGCACTTCTCTTTACCCTTTCCAATTTTAGAATAGCTTTTTTGAGACTGGGCAAACAGCACTGCACACTGTATCCAAGGTCAAAACAACAAGGAGTTTGGAGGCATCTTAAAGCTTAACAATCGTATTATGGCACAAGTGTGCATGAGCTGCAACTCACTTCAGGAGATATATGAAGTGAAAGAAAACAGATGGTAGGGACACACAGATGGGACTGTTACAACAGAGCTAATTCAATCAGGGTGGTTGTGGATAAGGAGGTGAGAATACCTACAGTGGAAAATTACTTACTGCAATGAGAGAGCCAATCCCAGTCCCTACTCAGCCCCAGTCTGATGGTGCCAAATTTGCACATGAATTCCAGCTCAGCAGTTTCACATTGCAGTCTATTTTTGAAGCTTTTTTTTGCTTAAGGGTGGCAACCTTCAAGTCTGTAACTGCATGTTTAGGGAGGTTAAAATGTTCTCCCACTGGTTTCTGTATGTTACCATTCTTGAGGTCTGATTTGTGTCCACTTTCTTTCACTCCATGCACCTGATAAAGTGAATTGCAACTCACATAAGCTTATTCCATAATAAAATTGTTAGACTTTAAAAGGTGCCACTAGACTCTTTGCTTGAAACAGACTAACACGACTACGTCTGAAAGTGCTCAAGATGGGGAGGTAGAACCATTATAATATTTTCCTTCTTATTCTCTATCCTTTCCTAATGACTCCTAACACCGACAGCTTTTTTGACTGCCGCAATGCATTAAGTGGATGTTTTCAGAGAACTAGACAACATGAACTCTTTCTTGAGAGGCAACAGCTCATTTAGACCCCATCATTTTGTATGTATGGTCAGAATATTTACCACTGCGCGTTACAGATTAAATCTCTCTCGTCCACAACTCTTGTGTCCAGAAACATCTATTGTCCGGAATTGTGTTAGTTAGCCGGATGTCCGCTTTTCATGAGTGTGACCAACTTTCCGGTGGTCCCATAAAGTTTGTTTATAGTCACTAGTCCCTGCTCTCTGTGTTTTGTGCTGTTATTTAGCTCCAGTTTACCCCTAACCATCTTCTAAAAAGCCCAGCAAGCAGTGAAAGTGTTGGTAATGCTGCTAGACAATATGGACCTCTTGTGGTCCAGAAAATTCTCTCGTTCTGAACCTGTCAAGTCCAGAGCAGGGTTTATTAGCCAACTGAAACACAGCATGGCAGTCCTTAGTGGGCAAAGGTGGACAGTTTCAACTGGCCAGTGTCAGGGCTCCACCCACACAACCTGCTAAAATCCATTTTAGCTGCCTCTTTGTCTGCGTGTCCCAGGTGAAAGTATCTGACTCTCCCCACAGCGCTGCTCTTCATGCAACCACCTGACACCTGTTCTCTTTGCTCTCTAGCTCAGGGGTCTGTGTTCTACTTCCTTTTTATGTTGTTGGTTGCTGGGCATGAAAGTCCCAGACCCTGAAATTTCCATTGTTTTTCAGGATCTTCCACTGATCTGGGCTGACTGCAGCCAGTCCATGAACACCACATTAATACCAGCCAATACAGTAACCCGATCCAATGTCTCAGGTCTCCTGCTCTGTCCCTAAAGCAGCTTGTTAAATCTTTATATTCCACATGCAGCAACTCAAAACAGGAAGAGGAACTGAGGCGCATGCAGGAAACAGCAAAATCCCCACATTTGTCTCATCCTACAGAAGTTGGAGAGGGGATGATGAAGGACCTGCTGAAGAAGCGATTAGAGAGGTAGGAGGAGAACTAGGAGAGGACAGAGTCACAGAAGCGCAAGAAGAATTACACAGCTAGAAAAAGAGAATAGCCAACTGAATCAAAGGCAGGTTGGCTGGTGAAGGAGGATGAGGCTGGAGCAGTGGTTCTAGCCAACTCTCAAGCCAGAGCAATGGACATTTTAGCAAGAGCGGTGTCAATGTAGTACTGGGAGCAGAACCTGGATTGGAGAGGGTCTCAGAGGGAGCTGAAGGGAAGGAATTTGACAGACATTGCAGAGAGCAGAGTCAGTAGCTCACAGATGGGCAGGTAGGGTGGGAGCTGGAGAGGCATGTGGGCTTCTTTTGCTGTGTTTAAAATGGGACTCCACATGGGGAGTATTTAACAACAGGCTGGACAGCCTAGCAGAGGAAGGTCTAACACAACCCAGTGGTGGGAAGTTGGAGCTAGATAAATTCGGACAGGAAGTAAGGTGCAAGTGTATAACGGGAAGGTGATGGAATGAGGTACCCGGCGCCGTGGAAGATTCTCGGTCACTGACCAGACTGGATGTTTTTGTAAGAGCTCTGCTCCCGGGATCGGCAGGGGGTCATTCTCTGGCAGTGCCAGACAGGGTGTCGGGCCAGCTGATGGGCAGAGTCCTTCTGCCTTGGAATCGAGGGCTCCTCACAAGGTGCACACGCTGGTCTTCCCCACCCCACTCGCTCTCATGTCCTAGGGTGCACCATGTTCTCCCACATCACATCCCCCCACCCCGGGGTCTCCCCCCCAATCCCATCCTCCCTCCTGCATCATGGTTTCCCCCGCCCATCCCATCCCTCCACAGTGCACCATGGTCTCCCCCCATCCCATCCCCCC